GATTTTATTTTGTCCCATGGGATATTAAAAATCCCATGGGATAATAATAGTCCCATGGGATTTTTTTTGTCCCATGGGACAACAAATATCCCATGGGACTACAATTATCCCATGGGATCCAAAAAAATCCTATGGGATTTAACCAAAATCCCATGGGATAATGGTCAATCCCATGGGATTTGCCTTATCCCATGGGATATTGAAAATCCCATGTTTTTCTAAATCAAATAAAAAAATATATATAATAATGACAGCAGAAAAGCAATGAATTTATTGAATCCCATGTAATTCCGCACATTTTGGTTATATACACGACACTGTAGCTCTAAGGAGAGGCGGCGGCGGATTTGCAAATGAGTGTTTTGCAAATTAAAAGTGTCCAGTGTTCTTAGTCTCTTCTATCAAATTCAACGCTTGCCACAAAATGTCGTCCGTCTTATACCCGTCCATATTGACAACTGTATACAAGGAGCATGATGTATTTTTTGTTTGTAATAAGAATACACGAAACAGTCAACCTAGACCTGCTGATCCATATTAGCACATGGTTTAACGGGAATATGCAAAACAACAACTTTGACATTTGTAAAATATACTCACTTGTCAAAGTTTGAACAAAGATAACCAAAGAAAGGTTTCTAGTGGGGTTTCATGTAATATAAAAATATTCTTATAAATCATGGTTTGATATTTTCAATAAATATGCTATCTTTTTTTTTTCTTTTTTTTTTCATTTTATAATCAATGTTAACAAATATAGGGTTTAGAATAGGGTGTAAGTTAGTTATACACCTCAGGGATACGGCGTGTCTGGATAAGAAACCCCTCCGGCCTCCGGCCGACGGGGTTTCTTATCCAGACACACCTATCCCTCGGTGTATAACTATTACGTAAACTCTGGAATGTGAAGCAAGGGTAGCCTCCGGGAGGAACAATTTCGTTGATTGAGTCTACTCACAAAATCATTCTTTTGTCGGGTCATAGACCATCGGCATTCTTCGGAGTTTACCTCGATGGTATATTAGATGGCGTCTAGTCTCAAATATGCATGATATATATTGAATGCAACTAGAGAAATAATATGCCTCCTCTAACATGACCATTCTGCTGCGTCTTCATGGTAATGATCATGGCGAACGGTAAATGAAAACAAATGATTAAATAACATTCAAAAGCAAATGAATAGATAGACAAATACATATCATCGTTTCCGAGTTATAGTCTGATCATAATACGGAGGAAGCCCGATTTGTATGGTATTATCCAAATAAACTAATTAAATTTTCACTTTGAACTTTGAAGATTAATTAGTTTAACTACTGTAAATTCAGAAATTATTGCATGCATTTATTATTGCGATTTTGTCATTTAAGATCAAAACGCGATTATTTTGTTTTGCGATACTGAGAAAAAATCTTGCTTCAATCATATAAAAAAAATCAAAATGCGAGTTAAGAGGGGGTGGACAGCTTTTGAGGGAGGTGGGAGGTGGGGGCGGGAGGTGGGAGACAAAAAATAGGTGGGAGAGAAAAAAAGATTCTAAAAGTGGGAGGTGGGAGATAGGGGCGGGAGGTGGGAGAAGGGTACCCCCCTGTCCACCCCCTCAGTTTAGATTATTGCGATTACAACCCTGTCGCATTTTTCGCAATAATAAAAACATCGCAATAATTTCCGAATTTACAGTATTTTACACTGTACTTGCAGCTGGAGTCACATTAAAGTGAGATCTTTAAATTCGCTGGCAACAAATTTTGGCAGATGATTTTATGCTGTAAAGCAAACAAAAATCAACCAATGACAATCAGAAAGTAGGAATAAGGTAGTACAAATAATTATGACGTCTTGAAAGGTTATTTTATTATTTTTCCGTATGTGTCGTAGGAAGGCGTCACAGAAGAAAATAGCCTTTCAAGACGTCGTAATTATTTGGACTATGAATAAGGCAACATACTAAACACGATTTGGAATCCAATGTTTGCCTAACGGCCCAGAGGATATAAAATACTAACAGTGAGTATGAACCCATATCCCCTGTAAAGATCCTAAATAACATTTAATATCCTTGATCTTGTACAAAGATGGTGAAGATGGTACCTGATGAAATATCTTCTTGGTTAGGGATATGGCTTATATCCATAAATTGCGTAAAATGGATGTTTTCTATTCTGTATAGAACATGTAGAACAGTCTGGTTTATGCTTAAATAAACAAACAAAAATTATGACAGCACGCAACCGACAACAACATAACTATATCACCAATAGCATATTGTTTTACCCGACGTTGATTAATTAAACCAGTTTTTTCAGCGTGCTTTTCTAGTTTGCTGGTAAAACAAACAAAAACATTAGTTTCTTTCATGAAAAATAACCAGAACAATCCAAAAAATCGATTATCAGCTTGTCATCTTGGTATTTTAAAATAGCAGCTGCTCGATATAATATTTATGCCTTTTGAACTCGTTCGCTGTGCCCTCTCTACAAAAGCTTCCTATGGTGTCTTGCAGCTGATATTTCACTGTATCAATTTGCAGAAAACCTGATAATTGGTAATATTTTATTTTGTTACCAGTAAATTAAAAACATACTTAATAGTATTGCAATACACATATGCACTTTAACGGTAGTACAATCTGTCGATACTTTTATTCTGGCATTGCACAAGGTCATGTTTTTCTCTGACTGTTAATGACGTCTTTATACTAAATCCATTGGATGTTGAACGTGTACTGATTGATAATTAAGTCTTAGATACGTGATTGTTTTCATTAGTTGTAATTGGCTTTAAACTAGCTATCAGTAACTGCGAGTACTCTCAGATCTGTACTTAGTGGTTTTGTTGTTGTTAGGGATGAGGGATGGATAAATACCCTGCCACGTCCGGTCTGTGTTTTTGTTAGATGTTTTCTGCTTTGTAACGATCTGATCAGTTAAGCCATTTTCAACCGATTTTTATAGTTTGTTCTTAAGTTGTGCTGTAACACCCCTGTCCCAGGTTAGGGAAGAGATTGAGCGCTCACAAACATGTTTAACCCCACCACATTCTTTATGTGTCTGTCCCAAATCAGAAGCCTGTAGTTCAGTGGTTGTCGTTGGTTCATGTCTGTCATATTTGTTTTTCGTAAATTGTTTTGTTATAACTTAGGCCGTTAGTTTTCTCAGTTGAATTGTTTCATATTTTTCATGTAGGGGCCTTTTATAGCCGACTATATGGTATTGGTTTTTCTTATTGTTGAAGGCCGTACTGTTGCCTATAATCGCTTACATCCACTTCATTTGAACTTTGGTGTATAGTTGTCTCATTGGCAATCATACCACATCTCCTTAATTTTATACATATCAAAACCTATTCGAAGAACTAATTGAATAATATCATTCACGCATAGTATTATTGCAGTGGTTTCCCCAAGAATACGCTGATGACACGCATATCCTATAGAATTCGCTGTTAAATGTGTGCTGGGATGGCAGCTTGCTTAGATTCGGCAACGCAATCTCAAGGAACTACTATACAAAGATCTTTTCGAGTACATACAATCTAAGACTCTTTCATCTTGCAACAGTATTAAAACATTGTTTTACACTTCACACAAGTCTTCCCTATTCCAAACTAAAAGACAAATTGAAAGAGTTGGTCCTGCTTTGTTTCATGAAAAAGAATGGCCAACGTAGATATAAGTATCTTGTCTAAGGAAGGGATAAATCCTACTTTGTAAAAAATCACACTGATTCAAACAAAAAAATCGCTGAAACTGACATTATCAAGATGCTAGATTTCTTGATTGACAACATATTTGTTACGTTTGGACAAACAATCGGCATTCCCATGGGAACCAACTGGGCCACTCTCCTTGCCGACCTGTTCCTTTATTCATACGAGGCTGACTTCATACAGGAACTTCTTAGAATGAAAGTAAAGAAGTTAGCAGTATCCTTTAACTTTACTTTCCGCTATATAGATGATGTTCTCTCATTAAATAATTAAAAATTTGATGACTATGTTGAACGCATCTGTCCCATCTAACTTGAGATAAAGGATACAACAAATACAGTTAATATAAAAAAGGAGATGTGGTATGATTGCCAATGAGACAACTCTCCACAAGAGACCAAATGATACAGAATTTAACAACTATAGGTCACCGTACGGCCTTCAACAATGAGCAAAGCCTATACCGCACAGTCAGCTATAAAAGGCCCCGAAATGACAATGTAAAGCAATTCAAACGAGAAAACTAACCTTCCTCATATCTTGATATATCTAGAAATTGACAATGAGGGTCGGTTGAAAACAAAACTTTACGACAAAAGATATGATTTCAGCTTCCCTATAGTAAACTTTCAATTTCTATGTAGCAACATTCCAGCAGCGCCTGCATACGGAGTATATATCACTCAGTTGATACGATATTCCAGAGCTTGTATTTTCTATCATGATTTCCTTGATAGAGGGTTGCTGCTCACAAGGAAGCTATTAAACCAAGAGTTCCAAGTGGTAAAGTTGAAATCATCCCTTCGTAAATTTTACGGACGCCATTAGTTGACCGTTATGAAATATCCGTTTCACAGATGATAGCGGATATATTCCAATTGTTGTAACTACAATCCAGTCCACTTTTCCCCGAATGTGACCTACCGAATTATACTTATTACCGGGTTTGTACTAACATGAGCAAACCGACGGGTGCTACATGTGGAGCAAAATCTGCTTACCCTTCCGGAGCACCTGAGATCACCTCTAGTTTTTGGTGGGGTTCGTGTTGCTCAGTCTTTGGTTTTCTATGTTGTATTGTGTGTACTGTCTGTTTGTCCTTTTCTTTTTTAGCCATGGTGTTGTCAGTTTATTTCGACTTATAAATTTGAATGTCCCTTTGATATCTTTCGCCTCTCTACTATAATCATATGACCCAGTCTTGTGAGAAGTTCAAAGTCTTTTCCCATAAGTTCGAGACTTATATTTGTCTATGTTAAGCGGTTGCAATTATGTTTTGATTTCGAATCTGAACTTAAATTACAATTTAATGTAATAAATTAAAGAATGATGCTTACAGCCATGCGATACATGTTATAAATAAATAAAAACACTGATCAATATTCTATTATAGTTTGTTCCAAGTAGATTTTTAAGTTAATTCTAATTGACTTTTCAGTACAATGTACAATTATATGTTCTATATATGTTTATTCACATTCTTTGAGATAATTTTCTTTTTCTAATCTACGCCAACATGCGTATGTTCCATGCTGCTTGTTAAACTTCTGGACTTTTTGTGATTAAAGTTATCTCTACTTTGTAGCCTCTTTCTTTGTGCCATTTGAATTACATTCATCCCAATCCGGCCAGAATGTCTCCTTCATTCTCTCACAATAATCACATAGATTTTTATAATCTGAAGAATATTTAAAACATATCACTTTAAACAACATTTATATAATGATTTGATTAACTCATTATTCATTTTGCAGCAAACTTTGTTAAAGTTAAAGAACAAAGTAGTGGTGTGATTTTTAATACAAAAAAAAACAGACTAATTCATTTTATAGAATAGGAGAGAATGTTTCGGAGTTGTCCTTCAAATCGTAACTTATTATTACATGTTTTCATGTTACTGTTGTTATCTAATCAGCTTCTGGTATATGTTTAGAGATACTTTAATTCGCTAACTTATATAGAAAATCTTAACATGCTTTTCTTGGTGTTCGTTATCGTCTCTGCCTGTATGAAATATATTATGAAGTACTGGGATCAGTCAGGAGGACGCCAATTTTTCATATCCACATGTTAATTACCCTGGACTTATTACAGTCGCTTTGGTTAGGGGACGACCATTTGATATTGGACCCTAACCCTAAACCTAACCTTACCCTAACCCTATGGGATGTGGTTGTGGATTAACTATTCATGTTCATCTGTTGCTACGCATGCTTATTTTTTTTGCGTTTTGTGTTCCTCCTGGACCTCCAGCAAAACAAATGGTCGTCCCCTGATTTCTGTCGTTATTGCTTCCCAAGTGACGTATGGATATGCCACAACTCTTTGTTTTCATAGTAATATCAGAAAGATTTCTGAAAGATTGTTTTCATAAACAGTTCGTTAGCGCTATATACAAAAATAAGGAGATGTGGTATGATTAATGAGACAACCATTAACCAGAGTTCAAATGAAGTGGATGTAAGCAATTATAGGCAACCGTGTGGCCTTCAACAAGGGAAAAAACCCATACCGTATAGTCGGCTATTAAAGGCCACGACATCAAAAATATGAAATAATTGAAACGAGAAAACCAACGACCTAATTTATAGCGCTTACATATTTAAACGTTTTCAATGTCTACAAAAACTCACTATAGATTCTGTTTCACGTAAGTTACTTTTCGTCATTTCTTATTTTATTCAATAGCAAAGTACAGATGATTTTATTAGGTTTCAAGATGACCCTTAACAGTCACGTTTCTCAAAGAACCCCCACTTAGTTAATATTACATTGCTGAACACTTTGTTATCCAAAAGTGAAGCTTGCTAAATAAATACGTCGTAGCAATCATGTAACTCTAACTCCGATATAGAGGTTTTATTTGTTTCTATTAGTGGGCGTATTGTATTTTGTAATGCACGGTCAGTGGGCGTGATTTATTTTAAATACACAGCTGTAGTTTTTTATTGTTGGCATTTGTTTTTGTATACACCGGTGCAAATAGGTTCTTACGATAGAAGACTTGATCACTGGACACCAAATAATGATTTAATGACTCAAGGCATATTGATCAGTTTATATCAACAACTGATTTTTCAGAATTCCCTTTTTATAGTTATTGAACAAGCAAATCAGTAAATGTCATTTAATCTGCACGGCTCGGGTGACCCTACTTGACCCGAACGACGTAGAAGTTTTGGTTAATGGGTCATCCCGACCGTGCAGATCAAATGATATATACCGATTTGATTGGTCAATTATAACTGTTTTTACACACGACGCCATCAATTTACATGAACGTTTTGCTTCTTGGAAAGTTTTCTTGTAAAGTAAAGAAAGGGGGAAATACGCCGGTTGGTAACTTTAAGATTAATAACCTTTTTTTATGTTCACGCTTTCTCCTAAATTGTTATATTATTTGGAGAATTGCGTTTAAATGACAGATCTTTGATTGTTTCTGTCAAATTAGAACTTGACATATTCTTTTTTATATATATTGTTTAGACACCTGTCTATTGTTGAACACTGTATGCTTAGGGGACGATTAATCGAAGAGAAATGTGCTTAAATTTAAAGTGCAAAGTAAAGAAAAAAACGTTTCACTTTTCAAATTTTAACTGTCTGCCCTCCTCCCACAATTTTTCAACCTAACAGGTTTTAATATTTGGATATTCTAAAATATTCTAAGAAATTACCACCCAAAAACAATTCTTATCTTGTTACCTTTGAAACACTGATTTGAGTTTTACATTGTACACAAAATGTCCAAAAATGTTCCAAGGAGTGAAAAACACTTTCTATTATATAATTTGAAACGATGAAGTTTATACAAACTTGTTAATGATCAACTACAAAATGTATGTCGTAAATGCAAGGTCAGGGGCGCGAAGAGGTTGTACGCCCCCTTTTGATTAGAAAATATATGATGGTTTAGTCTAAAATCGTCAAATGTTTTTTTCTATAGAATTACGACCCTATGCCTTTGAAAATTCCTTGATCCGCACTTAAAGATAAGAGTCTATTTGAACTGTGCAGTATATCTGAGGAAGTTAATATTATCCAGGTTAAACACGATTAGAACAAAGAGTGTTGGCCATGTCATGTATTAATTTATATATTTAAAAGAAATTGATACCAAAAGCATAAAAAGGCAAACGAATTAAAAAAAACTGGAGCTTTAAAGCTTGAGGAAAGAGTCATTAAATCATGTCAGTCCATTTGTTACTGGGCGCATAGTATCCTCGATTGCAGCCAAACATTAGCAGTACCTATATAATTGAAATTCAGATCCTGTGTGCACTCTTACCTTAATTTGTTAGAGAAGCGTAGACATAGGATCTGTATTTCAATCATATTACAGCAGTACCAATTGAGTTGTAAACGAATGACACCGATTTAGTGTGCGAACGTGAATTACCCTAGTATACAGTATAACTTAATGTAAATATATAATTTATAATTAAAAAAAATAGCTAGCCTATTTAAACTAAAGAGTTGCTCCACAAAAATTTCCTTTCGAGCAAACCTATAAACAGAATCTTATTTATTACGCATTCTTACTTTTAATAACAGGTTCACTTCTGTGTCCAAAGGATAGCCAATACCATTCTGCAAGCTGTCCAAATATAGCACAATCTTCCTCACACGGCCTTTCTCCCAATAGAAATTTCTTTTCACCTAATAATTCATTTTTTATATATCATAGAAAACTTTTTGCGGAAAGCGAGACATAAGGTTGCTTTTCCGGCGACGGCGGTGGCCTCAACAATGGTTAAGTTTTCTGCTTAAGTTAGTTTGGTAGGATCTACTTGTGATAGATCATTGATATTTAATATAAAGTTGCATTGCTATCAGTACATATCATTTTGAAGACTATTTCGAGGCCCTGCCACTGGGTCATGGTCCAGCAACTTTGAATTAACTAGCAATTTTCAATGTTAGTTTTCTGCTTAAGTTAGTTTGATAGGAACTACTTGTGATAGATCATTGATATTTAATAGGAAGTTGCATTACTATGAGGCCCTGTCCCCTAAGTCACGGTCCAGTGACTTTGAATTAATAAGCTATTTTCAATGTTAAGTTTTCTGCTTGAGATAGTTTGATAGGATAGATCAATGATATTTTGTATGAAGTTGCATTACTATCAGTACATTTCTGTTTATCGAATATTTTGAGGCCCTGCCCCCTAGGTCATGGTCCAGTTACTTTGAATTAATTAGCAATTTTCAATGTTAAGTTTTCTGCTTAAGTCAGTTTGATAAGAACTACTTGTGACAGATCAATGATATTTTGTATAAAGTTGCATTACTATCAGTACATCTCAGTTTGTCGTTTTCAGACCATTTCTAGGCCGTGACCATAAGATCATGGTCCAGCGAGTTTGAATTAATAAACAATGTCGCTGTCCATCAGATTGTCTTTTTCTGAAGTGTATGTGGACAGGCGAGACATATCTCTGTGTCAACAGTTTATTATGCTATTTTTTTTGCCCTTGTTTTCTATTTATTTGAATATGATTATGATTATAAAACGAAGTTTCATTCATAACGTTATTAAGAAAGTTATTCTTTTATTTAACAGATACCAATCTCATGTAATTTTCAAAAGTTTTTTTTTTATTTTAGGTATGCTCTACGTTACTGAATATATATATAGACATTATAGTAGTGAAGCTTTTCAAAAAAATAAATTGAAAAAACTGTCGATGCTAGTAAATGGGTTTTTGTCAAGGAGATCCTCTTGGTAACTGAAAATATATATTATAACTGCAAACAGACATTATGTTGACGCAGAGAAAACCTTGTGTTCTGTGTAAACTCAAACTAATTCATTGTTACAAATCAAATTTGAAATTCGTCATATAACAAATTAAAGTCGTAATAACGTTAATAAGATTTATTACAAAAAGTAAGAGGAGTCGTAAATGGGCTTTCGTAAATTTCAGATCATGATCAGTTGATTTTTACTTTTCCGTATTTTGATTTTAATGGCTGTCTTACACAATAATTCAAGGGATCGTCGATGGAATCATTTCGTCGGAGAACATCAAGTGAATTAATTATTGTATGGTATAACGTAATATAAATATTGTTTAATGAAAACGAATTTAAGTTTCCATTTTTGGTTCAATTTTGGTTAAATATATTACCTATTTCTCATCTTTTCCATTAATATAAATTAAAACCTACAAACAAGTATGTTATTAGGACACGAAAATGCTATTGTTAAGGCAACGTTGTTTTTCTATCCCCAGGCATAGATACATGGCCTTTGTAATATTTTGCACATTTTTGGAACTTTTGGTTTTCAATGCTCTTCAACTTCGTATTTAATTCGAGCGTATGTGCGTATCGAATTATAAATATCTTTGATGATGTATTGTACATCTATCAAACATACCATATAAGGAATTTTCGCCATTCGCAGGTACGTTTCTAGTTTAATGGCAAATGGTGACATACTTGGTGCATATGGAGCTCTTCCATACTGATGGAGAATAACTGTATCTTTAGGATATTCTTCTCTACTGTATAAAAATAGAAATGCTTAATCAATTTTGAAGAGATAGACTTTGAACATAAACCTTACTTCTTAATAAAAAAAGTCTAGAAGACAGAGAAAATAGTTTATTTCTTTATAAAGTTAAAGGGCTGGAACCCCTAAAAAGGTAATGAAAAAAATGCCAAACTCCAAGGTAAATTTAAAAAGGGGGAAGTCCATACAACCTGACAAAATAATACGTTAGACTGTAATAACCAATGATACGAATTGAAAACAACTGTCATATTCCTGGCTTGGTACAGGCATTTTCCAAAGAAAATGGTGGATTGAAACTAGTTTTAAAGCTAGCTTAGCCCCCCCCCCCCCCCCAAACACACACACTTGTATGACAGGTGTTTATAGTTCCATTATATTGACAAACTGGTCATTCAAATTATAAGTACAAAATCAAATAAGAACTTGAAAGAAGTTGAAAAAAGAATTAAGCCTAGACAAAGTAGTATTAGATATATTCAGAGGTGTAAGTAAGTTCAATTTATAACCTGGGACATAGTATAACACCAAAAAAAAAAACAACTTGAGAATTTAAGCCATTTAAGCAAATTCAAACGAGCACATTATTGGACATTTTTAAATGCAAATAAGCACAGCATATATATATACATGAAGATTGTCATAATCGAGACAACCTATTGTAATATTAGTTATAGACTAGAATATAGTTTCTGTAAAAATATTTTCATTTTTGTTACTTAACAAACTTAAATTTTGACAAGTTATATTCACAAAGAGTGATGTAGACCATAAGGAACACTCTGAAAATCGGTGCACGGGGAGAGCTTTATATTCTATATATATCTAATATTTTCGATTTTTTAAAAAGAATATGCAGCAATGATTAACATCCTTAAAATATCAATGCAACAAGTTTCATGTGCACTGAATGTAATATGAATGGAATTTCTATTTCAAATATAACAGACACGTTTGCTTTTTAATGTAAAATTCATTCTAAAAATGTGCGCACGGTCAACGCTTTTACAACCCTATAAAATTACTAAAAGAAGCATTCAATACTTATAATTACATTTTTTGGCTATGATCATGAAAACACGATTTCTATCAAGTTTTTCTTTTATATACCTGTGCACTTTAGTGTGAATCGTTTTATTGGCAAATGTATTTTGGTAGTTTGGTCTTCTCGACTACAAAGTTTTGTTCTTCCGCCTATTCGATTTCTCGAGTTTAGTTCACACCCAACTAGTTCCAGACAGGTATAATATCAACACGGCATGATCACAGTAGGTATAGTGTCCGGCTGGAATCGTGTGTTTTCGAGTGATTTGGTCGGTTTTTTCGAGTTTGACCACGTTTTTTCGAGTGAATATAATCAAAAATGTCCATTCTGGTTAGTCGTAGAAAAGGTGCTAGAACCTAATATACAAGATCATAAAAGGTTAATAAGTATTTGTGATAAAAAGATATTATCAATCCTACATTATTTTGTTTTAAAAACGTTTAATTTAGCCTTACAATGTTTTATTCCAAAATATAGATAAAAGCCATTTTTGTTCACATACCAATGTAAATGTCAAAGGAAATGCATACATGGAATCTACATATACTTAAATATACGGGCTCTTTACATTAATTCTTGTTATTGCATTGATAATGACATTTTGGAGAGAAAATTAATTTTTCTATGTCCGTGTTTTTTCGAGAGCAGTCCTTGTTTTTTAGAGTGCGTCCATGTTTTATCGAGTGATAAAAACAAAATTCCTATAGCTAAAACTGTTGAAAGTAATTTGTCCGTGCATTGACGTTTAAAATAATAATGAAAAGGTTCAAATAAAGTACTTTTCAAAGCACGAAACAAATGCATTAACCTAATTTGATTATGCTGTATTAACACGTACATTTCTTAAATTGCATCGTGTATTTGTACATATTGTTGTTTGCCAAATTTTATTAATATCATGGACACCAGCATACGTATATTTGGATAGATACATGTCTGCGCCCAAGTAAAGATAAATGCTATTTACTTCATGCACGTCCACAGTATTCAACCCACACAGGTTTACATAGATATAGGAAGATGTGGTATGAGTGCCAATAAGACAACTCTCCATCCAAGTAACAATTTATAAAAGTAAACCATTATAGGTAAAGGTACGTATGTTTAGATCGATCAAACATGTCCTCGCCCATGTAAACATGCCAATGCCCTGGTAAACATGTTGTATCGATTCAAATATACGTATACTGATGTCGATTTCATATATAGTAAATTTACGTGATGTAAACAATCTTCGTGTAAGTGTAGCGATATGGATTTCATACAGTAATTATTTCATGATGTAAAGAATCTGTATGTGAGCACAGACATGTTGGATTGAGACGTATGTACACATAGTGTGTAAAGCGGGTAAATGTGTGTGTGTTTTTTCAACAGAAAATACATCCTAAATGTTTCATTTACTATTTGATGGTAATATGTTTAATCGATCTAGAAATGGAAAACAAGAACAATGTTCAAATCTTCCTACTATTCACGTGAAGAGGAGTCTAATCAAACGTCGTATGTTAGGCTTGGTCACACAGAAATAAAGTACCATCATAGATTCTTTCCCATCAGAAATTAAAAGAATAAAATTTATAATGTATCTTTGTGAGGTGAACGCATATTATATACACATTTCGTTTTTTTTTATTATTTCAATTGGATCGTATTAAAGCTTATAGATTGTTTATTTCATTGTTTATTAAATACATTGGATAACTCCCCGAGGTTATCATCAGCTCAGTAGTCCGTATTGACATAATTTATAGGAAACCTATCTAAATTAATTACCTCCAAGGGTGACTGAGGAATAGAAATATGGTCACTTAGGTCCTCTTCCGACCGGCAGTAAAACCCTTGCCAAAGTAGGGCGTCCGTTTGGCTGTGCGGGATGTACAAGTACACAGCCACGTCCGGTCAGAATGGGGAGTGCCACGCTATCTGCATGTATAGAAGCCTTGCAACAACCCTTTCAGGGGTCAGTAGATGGTCTGTTGAAAAGCAAAATTTCTGTCCCTATCCAATATACACTCATTTTTCAGTGGCAGTCTAAATTTCCCGACCTTCATCCCGAACGGCCTCTATTACAGGACTTACCTATTGTATTTACTGTTAATTTAAACATGCATGAAATATATTCCACTGGACGTTAAGCAACCAACAATTAATCATCTAAAATTGTCCGTTTATAAATTTCAAAACATTTGCAAAGTTGAGCTTTTAATTATATGGATTTGGATATTTTAGGTCCCTTTTGGTCATTTAGCTCTTCACTGTTTCGGTTCTTATACATCCCTGGCTTTCACATTTTCGGCTTTGAGCGTTCCGGATGAAGGTAAATCCAGAAAAGCGCTTCGGAAGCATGAAATTTATAAAGTGTTGTTTTTCATTTTTTATTAGATATTCCATTCAATTCAAATCGTATTGTCAATGGGAAATAGAACATGGGAGGATTAAGGGTGTGTTTTTTTGTTTTTTGTTATTGTAATTTTTTGGGGAAAGTCTCTTTTAGTAGAATATTTGTGCTTATATTTATTTTTTCGGATTTTTTACTGCTATTCCTTATCCCTCTTTTTAAAAATTTAGGGGTTCGCCACAGTAATATATATGGTCGTGTGGTCTAGCGCGTCGGATACAGTGCAGGCGATTTGGTGTCACGATATCTCAGTAGCATGAGTTCGAATCCCGGCGAGGGAAGAACAAAAAATTTGCGAAAGCAAATTTTACAGATCTATCATTGTTGGGCTGATGTTTAGACGAGTTGTATATACATATATATAATTCATCTAAATAACAGCCCAACAATGTTAGATCTGTAAATTTGCGTCAGCAAATTTTTGTGTTCTTCCCTGGTCGGGATCCGAACTCATGCTACTGAGATATCGTGGCACCAAATCGCCTTGCACTGTGCCCGACGCGCTAGACCACTCGACCACATAGTCTATAGAGTGAGAGACCCATATTCGCCGCATAATTCATTCATTTCCACTAAAATCCGACCTACAGTCGAATATTTGGAACTTTTTATGAAGGTTTCAGAAATTTAACTATATTAAAAAAATGTTTGATAAAGAAATTATCTTCAAAACATTGGTTAATTGTTCTAAAAACGAACGCAAACTCAAGAGGAAATCAAGTTGTTCGTGTACCATGGGGGACACATTTTCGCCGCAATGTATGATATGACCATCCTAATTATCCTGGTATATTATAAAAACGAATGTTTGCAATTACACTGAACTGCGGCCAAGCTTAGCGAAAGGTCGTGCAACATAATCAGTCAAACAAACTTTATTAGATTAACTCGTTAAGGAACGATCGTTCTCATTGGTCAATTCAAACCTTCGACCTCACACCTGCGAAAATAGAACACGCGTACTATAAAGCTGAATGGACTGATCAGTATTCACGTAGCCGGTCAAGGTCGTTAAAAACTTCCATCGTCGTATTCACGTACATGATTGTGTTCTTGATTATCCCATGGCAATTTTAGCTTTTATACATGTGCATGTACAATTTTAAACTTTAATCTTAACAGTCACGTCGGAATATTTAATTCAACTGTCTCCTCTCAATTGGTTCTGGATTAAGGGAGCTGCCATTTTATTTTGATTGGGGGTGGGGGACTTGGATGAAACATTTTGTCCTGCATTTTTTTTTAGTTGTTATCTCTGTCCTGTCTTTCTATTTTTCAGTCTGTTAGGTCCTGACTATATTTATTAGTTTATCTTGATTTTTTTACATAAATCGTCATCCTGCCTTTTTTTTTTGTCAAGTTGCTCACCCTGCCTTATCTTTTATTCAATGGACTTGATGGAATTAACGTTGTACTTGAAATGAAACCGTACTTAACTACAAAAATAACCAAAATACATACTAAAGATATTGCTCGATTTATATAGTAAATGGGTTTGTGTTATAAACTGTCATGTTCATTATTCATATTCTTTCATAAGTTTTAGGATAGTGTGATTTTTTTTCTGATTCAGTTTACTTGATTTTGAAAAAAAAATCCCGAAATTCTAAGTAAATTCAGAACATGTAACCAGCCATGCTTTGTTTAGAGAAAAATGGAGATGGCAAACCATGGCACAGTGGAAGGAAATGTACTTTATAAACTCCAGCGATATACTTCCTTAATTTATAATTAACTGTTTTGCTATCCTCGGTTGAAAATTATATATGGTAAATATTTAAATAGTTGCATAGAAAACAATCAGTTTTAAACAGTGTGTTTATTCACTAAATGTATTGATAAAAGGTGACTCCCTTTTTGTACATACTTTTACAGTAGTCATCCTTAATTTCTTAATATTTCGTTTATAAGTTTATCATACATGTATGATTTTGTATTTCATTTTAAATACGCACGCATGCCACATGTTACTTTGGCGGATAGTTCAACAATGTTATGCAAAGCTCTATTCTTACGGTATGAAATTAAAGGATAAATTTTCAACCAATTAAAATCGAAAACAGTACATTTATATAGTTCCTTATAAACTACGACATTTCTCACAAGTATTTATTTATTTTTTAGTTCCACACATGCATAAGAAAAAATCTTCGCCGATGAAACATTTCAATCCTTTTTACACCAACATGCCTTCACTGTATTCATTTGAATTTCGTGGTGACCATGATAGTACATTGCATAGTACATCTATATTCACGTGCACACATGATACGATCTTTCGGGGACAATTTTCTCGTTTATGACACGTTATTTCTGAATGACCAAACGCTTAGCTACTTTATGAGAAACTTGACTGCATTTCAGTGTACATGAATTAGCTTGAAAGATCATTCCTATACGATTTTTTTCACAAATATTTACTTTAAGACTGCGCATGATTGCCATATAAATCTTACATAATTGCCAAAATCATTTAAAAACACCTGCGTATTTCTCAATATGTGCGAATAACTTTGGAAATGGGGTAAAGAGGAATATCAACAGTTGTAACATTACAAACAGCCTTTACCATCTATTTAGGCAAGTATTGGGTAAAGGCACACAAATTTTACAGAAAAAATAGCAAAACGGCGAAAATGTGTCCAAGGCGAATATGCGCCACCCACTCTATATATATCAATCATAAAATATTATTGACTGTAAAAACAAAGGTCGCATGAAATGAAATTGAAAAGATTATGAGTCCCCTGTACTCGGTTCTAAAGACTGTTTTAAAAAGAACCCATTGATTTCTCATATATTGTAATATTGCAAGATTATTGGAAATGCTTTCAGTACAGAAAATAAGCATTAAATCGAAAATGGTTAAATTTGATCAACATTGTGATATGTTTTGTGACTTATTGGGAATATATAGTATTGTTCTTCGCTAAATTACAGTTATAAACTAGAAAAAAAATCAGTTTTAAATGCAAAGAATGCCTTCTGTCTTATTCACAATTTCTTTGAAAAACCCGGACCGTTTGTTAAAAAGCTGGACGTTTTTTAAATGTTGCTCTCGAAAAAAACACGGGCAATGTAAAACGCTGAATTTTAAGTGAAATTCAAGGAAGTTGTGCATAGTTTGTGCTCAAAAATATGTATAGTATTCAGAATAAGATGAACAGTCATGAATACAACTAGAATACTTGCGAAATAGCAGTAAATCGATCTGTTCGTATGCAATATCACTCGAAAAAAGTGGACCGATTCACTCGAAAAAAACACGATCTCAGCCGGACACTATACCTACCGTGATGACACGAACTTTCTAACATTTTGTCTCTTTGTAGATCATGTTACTGTGTAATGAGGACTATTTAATATTCGTATGAACGAAGGGAAGTAGAATATAACTATTTTTTCATAGCTTTGAGTTACGTTTTATTGTCCTAGAATCACAAGTAATACCAATAAAGTTATCGTTCTCGAGTTAGAATGACCGACTTACTAAATCCATACATTTTTTTTTTGCAGCACCGAAATGCAATTTATAATCAATAAGACACGAGAAGGTCAGTGTACCTTGGGTCAAACAGTGTAAATTCCATCTAAATAATATAGTCCCTAAAGTTCTTGATAACTTTGTCAACAATACAGGTGAAAGAAACTATCAATAAATCCCATTCTTCAAGCACGTTAAATCGGGATGTATTATAAAGGACTCCATTTCGAAATAACTTGACTGGTTTATATAAATTTTGCACATAAGCTTATCATGTAAAATCTTTATAGTATACTCAAATCAATTCATTTTCTTGTTGTTAGCATATATTAACCAAATTCAACCTGGTAATCCACTTTTTACTATTATAACATAAGACTCACCTTTTCCTTTTCCCACTTTTCCTCCAAACAAGATAGGTTCCAATTGTTGCTATTACGGAACCACCCACTACTTTAATCCACCACATTGCATCGTTCTTCTCAATCAGATTCATTCCAAAATAAGTAACGTAGCTTTGTTCTTGGTTGTGAACTCTTTAATGACCTTCACATAATATTTGACAACTGCAGTTTGTAAGTGTGTAGTAATTTATCGGTACATGTATTACATATAGTATATCATATTAAGATTTATTCGTTTTACCTGGAAAATGTAAATCAAAGTACTGAAGTATTGAACATCGGATGACCACAAGTTCTTGAGGATGGTCAAAAACACTTGTCTCAGAAAAAAACAACAGATCTCTTTACCTGAAACTGAGATTAATGTACAGAGATATATTTTTTTCTGAGACAAGTTCGTGCGTGGATGATGAATAAATGACAGGAAATTCAACTTCACCGTAATAACTATTATATTGTAGTGATACAAATCAGTATACACTGATACACTGATTTGTTGTTATATATTATATTAAAATAACAGTTACGCATTGGTGAAAACTTTTTCTGTTTCAATTTTGAAATGGGTTACATATAGATATCTATATTTAGCTGGATAGTTGATTGAATAATTGATATTATAGAAAATCTAGTTTTACATAATAAAAAGAAATGGGTTTCATCATTCAAAACTTTGCACTTATTACAAAGTCTTTGAGGGCGTGGAATATTTTTTTATATCTTCTAGTGTCAACAGCGAGGGAATGATCACTAATTCTAAATTTGCATATATGTTTTTTCTTGTATCAAGATTAGGGTATTCACATATAATTCTTGTTTATATTCAGTGTTTGTTATATATTATATTAAAATAACACTAACGCATTGGTGAAAACTTTTTCTGTTTCAATTTTGAAATGGGTTACATAAAGATATTTTTCGGTACGTGTGCATTGATATTATCAATGATTTTTTACTTATATATATATATCTAACTACAAAACATTTTCATATTATTAATTTATGTTGTAAACAAAAATATTTTTATCAGTATTCATTGAAGAGATGTATTTATATCAAACGATAAGGAATGTTATTTTGCACTCGTTTATGTGCGCATATTTATCATGTTTATAGATCGGTTACAAACCCAAAACTAATTTACATAATGGAAATCTAGGCGATAGCAATACATCGGAATGACCTCAAGGTCATCGCGATGTAATAAAAATTATGTTGCTCGTGCTACGGGATGCATTAACATAGAATGCGTCCACGTGCTTGTGTTGTGTGTCGATATATTTTGCATGGTCTCTGGTGGATATGCATTTTTGCACAGGCGTTTGGGAATGACCCCCCCCCCCCTTTTCTTGTATTCAATTAAAGTAAAATTTCTGTATATCTTTAGTATTTTAACTTTTTCTCCCTTTTAATGTTTTCTTGCTTTTATCTTTACGATTTAACAATAACAGTATTAAATGACCGATGCCCTTCTATTCTTATTTTCCACTGTCTGTAGTCGTTTAACCCAAGACAGTTCGCAAATTTTACGGGAATCTTCAATATTGTTTATATGATTGTTCTGGTTGTGTCCGGACGGTTTGAAGTTGTTTGAACTTTATAGATTCAATATTGTGTTTGTGTTTTTCTAAATGTTGGTAAATTAAGTTTGCATTTCTTGTGTCTGCGGAAGCTGTATAGATGTTCTTGTGTTCTTGTGTTCTTCGTTTGAAGAATTCACGTCCAGTTTGCCCTACATATTGAATATGTAAAATTAACGTTTAGTTCATGTTACAAGATATATGAGGCTTTGGGTTTTACAAGTAAAGGCATAGGAAAAGGAGAGAGAAAAAGTTCTTCCGTTCACTGATGACAGAACCGTATTATCTGAAGACTTCCGTTCACTGATGACAGAACCGTATTACCTGAAGACTTCCGTTCACTGATGACAGAACCGTATTATCTGAAGACTTCCGTTCATTGATGACAGAACCGTATTATCTGAAGACTTCCGTTCACTGATGACAGAACCGTATTATCTGAAGATACAATTAAGCATTAAGCTTTTGCATGATATGTTATTTTTTAAATGAACCTGCTCCAGATGATTTAATCAGTGTTGTCACCACGTGCACAAGCACTTGTCTGAAAAAAAATACTATATACCTTAATGTGTTATATTAATGTATATAGGATTTTTTTTCAAAGACAAGTGCCTGTGGTTGTCACCGTCCTCGAGTTAGAAATATACTTTCAAAAAGGTCACGTCTGAATATTGACCGACTTACTAAATCCGTACAGATTATCTTGTAGCACTGAATATACACTCAGATTCAAGATACAAAACCAATAAAACAAGAAAACGTCAAAGTGTCTTGATTTTGAAACTGTTACTGTAAAACTACATGTATGTAACTTCTATCTGAACGATATAGTTATATTCTATTTCTAAACTAAAACTATCCGCATAGCGGGACTCATACACCCCGTACATGCATTTTAGTTGCAGGTGTGAAATTCAGTGTTGAGACAATGAAATTTTGAGGTTTTGGGTTTTCAACTATTCATTTTATAAAATCATTGCCTCTGTATTAGATTGAAATATGGTTACTGATAGGTCAATCGGAAAGGAATATACAGACCCAGGAACAAAGTCTGAGGTATGTATACTGTAAATTCAGAAATTAAAGGTCAAATCAAAATCAGTATAATACTTCTGCTTTTAGGAAGTAAGTCGTCATGTTCAATAGAAAAACATTTTATTTTAATTTGTCTCTCATCAGTCGAAGGATACATGTTTGACAAAACATACCTACTCTGTCGTTCATAAATTTGTCTTAAAATCATCAAATCTCCAGTTTCAAATCCATAGATTTTTCTTTAAAAAAAAACTTTATGTTATTGATACATAAATTTCCGTTTTAATGTAATGATATAAAATAATCATATGGTCACCGACTTCGTTTTTTATGTATTAAACAATCTGTTACCTATACTAGTTGTTAGTTAAAACGGCCTACAATGTGAAGGCCGCGGTTACGCTTATTTCGACGTTCTGTGGTATTTTTTCACATAGAACACCACTTTGAATGATGAAACCGTAAAACGAAATCGGTGCATGACCCTATTAATATTTTACATCATTGAAGGCTTTTTTTAAAAAGGTCTTTAAAATAGATAAAAAAAATCACATCATCACAACTATTTTTTGAGGTTTCAACAACATTATGTGGTATTTCTGAACATTTATTAACCGATTATAAAAGTGGCTGGCTTTAAAACTGTAATTTTGGCATATTTGGGAATTTTGAAAGATGAATAAAAAGGACATAAAAAACCAAAACCAAAGTTATGTGGGAAGTACATGTAACATGTCCTGTCTTCCATACAAGCGAGAGGTTTAGCTAGCTATAAAACCAGGTTTAATCCATCATTTTCTACATAAGGAGATGCCTGTACCAAGTCAGGAATATGACAGTTGTTTTACATTCGTTTGATGTGTTTGAGCTTTTGATTTTGCCATTTGATAAAGGACTTTCCGTTTTGAATTTTCCTTGGAGTTCGGTATTTTTGTTATTTTACTTTTTAGATATAAATTCAATAATTTTTGCTAGGTCAAATATTATGAAAAATTTAAAAATCATTGTCAAGTTTTCTACAACTGTAAACATTCAACAGAATAACAGTTTGATTTTATGTATATACTAGTTATGTGAAATTCTTGAAAAAGATTAAAATATGAATAGAAGGCAGTATTGGGGGTATGTCAATGAGACAGTAGTCCTCCAACCAAAACAATTAAAAACATCTACAGGTCAACATATACACAGCACCGGCATGTCTAGCTCATATTGGCGCGTGTCTTTAAATGAAGCCGTAAAGATTTTTAAAAGTCCGCAATAACTATGGATCTCCAAGTCGGTAAAAAAGTAAAAATTGGAGTGATTCAACTGATAAACTTTACCGATGTTTTGTATTTCAAATAAAGGAAACTATTGTTTCTGGCTTCATTTCAAAAACAAAATTTAATAATTAGTTTAGTTTGTTAGTAAATTTTTCTATTCAGGCTCATTTTCGTGATCAGTCTTTCAGTTTTTTACGTTGTTACAGTGGCGTATCTTCCATTAAGGCAGTGAGTCAACTGCCTTACCAAACTATTGACCATGAAAAAATGAAGATGATTAAAGAGGGGTAAGTTTATTCCAAAATAGAGTGAAGATGGTCACAAGCATTCGACTACACTACCCTTTATATTTTTGTATTAACAATAAGGAATACGTTTATCTATAATAATCGGAAGAACTATTAAGTGTGATTCGTGCGATACAAGAAATAAAGAAGTAGTGGAATATATCAATCCCTGGATTTCTCCCATGTATTTGACAGTAAAACCCTTGATTAAGATGGGCGTCCGTTTTGGCTGTGAGTGCTGGATATAGATATAAGAAGATGTGGTATGAGTGCCAATGAGACAACTCTCTATCCAAGTCACAATTTGTAAAAGTAAACCATTATAGGTCAAAGTACGGCCTTCAACACGGAGCCTTGGCTCACACCGAACAGCAAGCTATAAAGGGCCCCAAAAATGACTAGTGTAAAACCATTCAAACAGAAAACCAACGGTCTAATCTATATAAAAAACGAGAAACACTTATGAACCACATCAACAAACGACAACCACTGAACATCAGGTTCCTAACTTAGGACAGGTGCAAACAAATGCAGCGGGTTTAAACGTTTTAATAGGCTCCAACCTTCACCCTAACCTGAAACAGTAGTGTAACATCACAACATAGAAAGACACACTATAAAATATCAATTGAAATAGCTTAACTCAATTAAAAGACATATTAAAAAAAACATGTGAACATACACTGAAAGAATAAATATGATATATGACACAATGTAAATACAAAATTAATTAAAAAAAAAGGGGGTAGATGTAAAACAATATCAGAAAGACAACCATAACCTTGGATGTATGAATACACAGCCACGTCTGGTCGGAAAGGGGACGTTAAATTGAATGCATCGTGTAGGGAAAGTGTCACGTTGAAGAACACTTGCAACAACTTTTTTCATGCGTCAGGTGATATATTGCAAGGTCAAATTCCTGTCCTTGTCTACAGTATGTCCTCTTTTTCGAGTAACAGTAGAAACTGTTTGTTTTTCATCTTAGTCAACACATTCTGTAAATTTGTAAAGAAGTTTATTAAACAACAATCAATCAATCGATCAAACATGTATAAAATTCGTATTTGGCATCCGCAAATGCTGAAAACTCTTTTGCGACGCCGGTTTCGTCCATTAACCACCCACTCGTAAGACGCATCGCGGTCTTTGATTACGAGCTGCGGCCTTGACTCTGAGGCTTAAAATCGTTTGCCTCTCTTGAAATAAAGGGTAAACTACGCCATTGAGTCTGAAACTGGTTTTAGCTGAATATTAACAACGAAGATTAATAATTTAGATTTTAATACATGTATTTTGTTCATGATAGCAGTGTCTACTTCAAGTTTTTATTCAAAACAGAAGAGAATTGAGAAGTATCCTCCTACTACTTTGTAGCTTTCTGTGTCATTCCTTTTGTAATGCACTGATCCCAGTCTTGCCAAAATCTCGCTTTCATTCTTTCACAATAATCACATAAATTATCATATTCTGAAATTAGAATTGTAAATAATGATCAAAAAGGTAAACAAATCGGCATGTTTCTCGTTTCTCGTTTTTTATATAGATTAGACCGTTGGATTTCCTGTTTGAATTGTTTTACACTAGTCATTTTGGGCCTCTTTATAGCTTGATGTTCGGTGTGAGCCAAGGCTCCGTGTTGAAGGCCGTAGTTTGACCTATAATTGTTTACTTTTTACACATTGTGACTTGAATGGATAGTTGTCTCATTGGCACTCATATCACATCTTCTTATTTATATATAGCAACTTCAAGCTAATCTTTCATTTTTTTGGACCGAAACAATAGTTACAACTCAAACTATAACCACTTATACAGGTTTTATTTGCGTTTTTGTGTATTTTAATTCACTTTGTATCGAATTCCGTGCATGTTTTTCTCATTTTCTTCCGATTAACCATCTTTTAAAGACCTAGTTATTGATCTCTAGATGTAATTTGGTCATTTTGTACCGTTTTGTTGCTGTCTCCACGGCAATTATCCTAAACGTCATTTTATTTTAACTATTTGACATAGTCTCTCCCTGAATATGAATTAAAAGATGTCTCCTGACATCAGTGTTGTACATTCAATTATTAGTTTCATAATGCCTGTAAAATAAGGGCAATAGATTACAATTTACTAAATACTTTGAAAAGTATGAATTATTTTTACAGCCAAGAGAACCTCTTACTTTTTAAATAGGTGTTGCACTTGTTCCCGAAAGCATGCCAGTAAATCTGAGATAGCTGACCAAAGACCGCACAATCTTCCTGACACGGCTCATCACCGAGTAAAAATTTATTTGTTCCTGCAAATACAAAGAAATTGATTGGTTGATCATTGATAAATTGATATATAAATTATTTGCTTAACAACCAATGATTGATAGATTGGCGGTTTGCTTAACGTCCTGTAGCAAATATTTCATGCATGTTCAGGGCGAGAAGAAATTAACAATATATACAAATATATATGTCCTGTAATAGGGGTCGACCTGGATGAAAGGCGCGAAATTTGGACTGCCACATGAAAATGAGGGTATATTGGAAAGGGACAGCAATTCAGTGTTACAATAGGACACCTAAGGATACCCAAAGAGTTGTTGCATAGGTTCTTAATGTGCAGAGAAGGTGACATTCTCTCTACACGAAACACCAGATTTTATATCCTCGTTCTGACCGCACGTGGCTGGGTATTTACACATCCCACAACTCCCAAACGTATGCTAAGGGTTTTACTGTCAGTCAGAAGAAGACCAAAAGTGACCCTATTTGTAATTCCCAGTCACCCCTCGGGTGCTTAACAACCAAAAACAAATGTTTATTGCATAAACCGAACATACAAAGAATATACTGTAACATATTTAACAAACAATACACAAAATTGTTACCGATAATTTAAAAAGGTACGAATCTTCTGACTTATAATTTGATGATTTTGCAAAGTTGACCTTTTATGCCCCATTTAGTTCTAAAGCTCCTCATGTATTCAAATATTTATACATATTTTGCTTTAACATTTTTGGGTTTGACCATTCCTGAAAAGGTTTCAGACGCACCAATTTGATATAAAGAATTATTCCCACTGTGCATCAAAGGTTTCAGACAAAATTACAAACTGAAACTACCATATTGATAACGATCTACGTAAAGCTGTGTATATATAATAGTAAGCTTTCTACAAACATCATATGCCAAAAATCAATCGTATGGCATTGACAGGATAACATAAGATAATTTTTTGTCAAAAGATTTATTATGAAATGAGTAATGAGAATAATCCATTTTTCTTTCATACTGAACTATTAGTTCGGTCAAGAAAGACAACTCGTACTCAAAAAAGGGAGGTAACTCAATGTTCTTATAAAGGGAAACGAGTTTATCAGTATTTCCGAGGAACATGTTGATTTTTGCACGCCAACTTGTACATAAATAATTAAATATCGGATCACAACAGGTTTTGAATGTTTGATGATCGATATCCACGCTTTAATCCAATAGTATAATAATTTGTAACTTAATAGGAAACCGAGTTTAGAATCAAATTAGAATTATTAGGGTTTTAATATAATAATTTTAATTAGTTTTTATTATACATTTTTATATATGCGTATCTATTGAAAAAATTTCTTTCTTAATCTTTGAACATTTTTCTAAACATGCAAATTCTGTTAAGAAAAATAGAAGTATTTGATTTTATAAGACAAAATAAAAAAAAAAAAACAGAGAAAAGAAAAAAAAAGAAATCTGCCCACCTAAAATACTGAATTTTGCAATGTCTGGTTGAATGACTATATATATTTTGATTCTCATACAGACAATGCATTACATCGGTACAGAGAAAAATTATAAACTCATATTAACTCAATTTAACTATTGACGAACTTAGTGAAATGTTTGCTTCTTTTTTTCATCTTTGAACTTCAAGATGGCGAAATACATCCAAGTTTAAAATAGAGAACGATTTAAAACAAAATTGATTTCACTTCTTCAATACATGTGGTATACATAACTTTAGCCACTAATAATAAATAAAAAGTATTATGTAATCAAATTTGGTTTAATATCTATTTCAAATGTATGATCTTTTATATGTAAAGGTAGTAAGATAAACATAAATAAACAGAATTAACACCTTTATGTTATTGCTTCGAAAACGATGATGTCCTACTGATTTTATGGCCATCATACTCATACTTATATTCCTTAGTTTTAAGAAGACACATTTAACCAATTAATTGTATGGTGTGTTATAACTTTGGATATCAAAATAAAGGTAAATACAGAAAAGCGCTTTGGACGCATCAAAATCATTAAAGAAGTGATATTGTCAATGTTAGACATGAATCCCAAAGTTTTTCATTTGGAAAAGTTTTTTTTCTAATTTCATTTTACATTTTGGCAGATATAATAAGTACAAGTTGATCCGAAAGACTGTGTCATGACTAAACAATTGCAGGGATTGTTTAAACACTTTTTTTTAGTTAGGCTAAATTCCTTTATAGAAGTTAAGCGGAACTTAACCTTTTTTCGCTTATATTTCAATATCTCAACATCTCGGGTAACTTTTCGCGTTTGTGCATCCAGATAGTACCACCGTGTCCTATAACTATTTTCTTGACTTAAAACACTCAGTATGTCCACATTCTATGACAACCACTAGCTCGTAGTCTTTATTCAATACCGTTTCAATTCTACTCTTTTTCTAACCTTCAGCGCACCCATCGCACATTCTTTGAAAGATCATGTTAAGCGTTTAGTGATGCTATTGATTTATTCAGTCGGTTGTCCATTGAATTAATACAAGCTTCCCATGAAGGGTTGAGACATAAAAAAGAATGAACAATTTTAGTGTGAATGCGCCTTGAAATACAAATGAGAATTTTTTTACATTCTACTGCAAAGTTTTCGGCATCTTAAGGTGCAAACGATTAATTTTATATCATGCGCGGATATGATTGACGGTTTTGCTTGGCGTCGAGTGACAAATAGTTCATGCATATTCGGAACGAGAACAAATCAGCAATAATTCAATATATATACATATATATATATATATATATATATATATATATATATATATATATATATATGCTAACGTAAAGGAGATGTGGCATCGGACGTGGCTGCGTGTTTATACATTCAGCACAATGAAGCGAATATAAATAAGAAGATGTGGTATGAGTGCCAATGAGACAACTCTATAACCAAGTTAAAATTTGTAAAATATAAAATTATAGGTCAAAGTACGGCCTTCAACATGGAGCCTTGGCTTACACCGAACAGCAAGCTATAAAGAATACCCATTTACTGCCAGATGGAAGAAGTCCATATATGTTATACTCCATTGCTTGGGATAATTTTTATACTGGATATGATAAATTAACTAGCCACACACTGGCACAAAAGTCTTGTCCATGCAAAATCATGATTTGTAGAATATTTGTCATACAATAATGGAATTTTCCAATGTACTTTAAAGCAATAGCTTTAAACATTAGCTTGGTTAAAAAAAGGGAAATGTCGGTGAAAAGAGAACCATAATTATTTCTAATGGGATTGCATATGGTCTCAGTTGAAAATAAAACGTCAACCTAACATAATAATAAAAAAACATTTGGTCAATAAAAAAAAATCAAACATCATGTCAGTTTCACAGTTTCAACATTTTTGTCGAATTAAGAGTTTTTTAAAATATGATTTGTCCGTTCCTAAAGCAAGACATTTGTTTTTACTTTGGCCTCTTAAAATAAAATGCTCCGCAGGGCGCAGCTTGATACGACCGCAGAGGTCGAACCCTGAACAGTTGGGGCAAGTATGGACACAACATTCAAGCTTGATACAACTCTGAATTTGGATTGTGATTAAATATTTGACACAACATAGGTTTCTGACACAGAATGAATGTGGTCTAAGAACTTAAAAATTTTAAATTGGACATTCACCTATTATGGTCCAATATCCAAAATCTAAATACATGGTTAGATTCAACATATCAAAGAACCCCAAGAATTCAATTTTTGATGAAATCAAACAAAGTTTAATTTTGGACCCTTTTGATCTCAATGTGGACAAAAATGATAACAGGGCCCAAAAATCAAAAATCTAAATACATGGTTAGATTCAGCATATCAAAGAACCCCATATATTCAATTTTTGTTGAAATCAAACAAAGTTTAATTTTGGACCCCGATTTGGACCAACTTGAAAACTGGGCCCATAATCAAAAATCTAAATACATGTTTAGATTCAGCATATCAAAGAACCCTAAAAATTCAATTTTTGTTAAAATCAAACTAAGTTTAATTTTGGACCCTTTGGACCTTTATGTAGACCAATTTGAAAACGGAACCAAAAATTAAGAATCTAAATACACGGTTAGATTCGGCATATCAAAGAACCCCAATAATTCAATTTTTGATGAAATCAAACAAAGTTAAATTTTGGACCCTTTGGACTTCAATGTGGACCAATTTAAAAACGGGGCCCAAAATCCAAAAACTTAATACACGGTTAGATTCAGCATATTACAGAACCCCATATATTCAATTTTTGTTGAAATCATACAAAGTTTAATTTTGGACCCCGATTTGGACCAACTTGAAAACTGGGCCCATAATCAAAAATCTAAATACATGTTTAGATTCAGCATATCAAAGAACCCTAAAAATTCAATTTTTGTTAAAATCAAACTAAGTTTAATTTTGGACCCCGATTTGGACCAACTTGAAAACTGGGCCCATAATCAAAAATCTAAATACATGGTTAGATTCAGCATATCAAAGAACCCCATATATTCAATTTTTGTTGAAATCAAACAAAGTTTAATTTTGGACCCCGATTTGGACCAACTTGAAAACTGGGCCCATAATCAAAAATCTAAATAAATGGTTAGATTCAGCATATCAAAGAACCCCATATATTCAATTTTTGATGAAATCAAACAAAGTTTAATTTTGGACCCTTTTGATCTCAATGTGGACAAAGTTGATAACGGGGCCCAACAATCAAAAATCTAAATACATGGTTAGATTCAGCATATCAAAGAACCCCATATATTCAATTTTTGTTGAAATCAAACAAAGTTTAATTTTGGACCCCGATTTGGACCAACTTAAAAACTGGGCCCATAATCAAAAATCTAAATACATGGTTAGATTCAGCATATCAAAGAACCCCATATATTCAATTTTTGTTGAAATCAAACAAAGTTTAATTTTAGACCCCGATTTGGACCAACTTGAAAACTGGGCCCATAATCAAAAATCTAAATACATGGTTAGATTCAGCATATCAAAGAACCCCATATATTCAATTTTTGTTGAAATCAAACTAAGTTTAATTTTGGACCCTTTGGACCTTTATGTAGACCAATTTGAAAACAGAACCAAAAATTAAGAATATAAATACACGGTTAGATTCGGCATATCAAAGAACCCCAATAATTCAATTTTTGATGAAATCAAACAAAGTTCAATTTTGGACCCTTTGGACCTCAATGTGGACCAATTTAAAAACGGGGCCCAAAATCCAAAAACTTAATACACGGTTAGATTCAGCATATTAAAGAACCCCAAGAATTCAAGAATAAAACCCCATTGAAATTGATCAAGAAATAAGCAATTTATACGAAGTATCTTCTTTTGCACAATACTGTGCAATTGATTATTTCTTGCTATTGCGCAATACTGTACAATTGACAATTTCTTGCTATTGCGCAATATTGTGCTATGGGATATTTCTTGCTATTGCGCAATACTGTGCAATTGAAGATTTCTTGCTATTGCGCAATACTGTGCAATTGAAGATTTCTTGCTATTGTGCAATACTGTGCAATTGAAAATTTCTTGCTATTGCACAATACTTATTATATAATAATTTACACATCCTGTTTGGTGTGTATCTCCTACCATATCATTATTATTTGCTTTTAAATATAAATCAGAAATAACCAACTTAAAATGGAAAATTTTAAAAGAAAAAAAAAAGGAAAAAAAGAAAAAAAAAAATCCCCCCCAAAAATTTTTTGAACCCCCTTATGATTCATCACCCCCAAACTCAATCTCAGCCTTCCCTTTGTGGTATGGTACCTTGCAGTACAATTTCAGAGAGATCCATACACTTGATCACAAGTTATTGTCTGGAAACTAGAAAAATGCTTATTTTTGGCCCCTTTTTGGCCCCCAATTCCTAAACGTTTCGGGCAATTACCCCCAAACTCAATTCCAGCTTTCCCTTTGTGATATGGAACCTTGTAGTACAATTTCAGAAATATCCAAACACTTACACACAAGTTATTGTCATGAAACTAGAAAAATGCTTGTTTTTTGCCCCTTTTTTGGCCCCTAATTCCTAACATTTTGAGGCAATTACCCCCAAAATCAATTACAGCCTTCCCTTTGTGATATGGAACCTTGTGGTACAATGTCAGAGAGATCCATACACTTACACACAAGTTATTGTCTGGAAGTTACAAAAATGCTTATTGTTGGCCCCTTTTTGGCCCCTAATTCCTTAACTGTTGGTACCATAACCCCCAAAATCAATCCCAACCTTCCTTTTATGGTATTGAACCTTATGGTAAAATTTCATGGAGATCCATTCACTTAAACTAAAGTTAGAGTGCGAAAACCAATGTGTCTTCGGACGACGCCAGACGACGCCGGACGACGACGACGACGACGACGACGACAACGACGACGACGACGACGACGACGACGACGCCAACGTCATACCAATATACGACCAAAAAATTTTCAATTTTTGCGGTCGTATAAAAAGATGGACTTATAAGTCTACTTAGACTTTAAATTGATAATGAGGAATACGTGTGTGTATCTTTTATTTGACACAGTAGATGTAAACCTCCATGCATGTTGCGAGACTTTATGATTTCGGTCGTTGTGTAATCAAGTAACAATCCATTATGCGATTTATTTTAATTAAAAATTTTCAAAATATGTTACAGTTTCGAGTATTTCTTATTTATTTTCATATTCGTTTTAATTAATCATTTTATAATTATGTTTATTTCTAAAGGAATATATGTAACGGATCTCCGTGAACTATGACAAAGTATTAAGTAAACACGGGGTATTTTCCAAATACATGTAGCTAACTTAGCCAAATCAAAAACTCGTCAAAGATAAAACTCTGAAAGATTTCAACTTGAAATGATAAGAAAAGTGTGAGAAATTAATAATATATATACGGTCAGATTACACGCATCACTCCCTGTGGAGAACAGTCTTAATTAGCTACTTGAATCACACAAATCAATGTTGGTATCCCGGGGTGTGTAGGTTTATGCAGTACATGTAGTTGAAAAAGTTAATTCGTAAATATTTTTGTTAAAACATATTTTAAACTTTATCATAGTATTGGGAAGTTTATGTGTTTTTCAGGGAAGATATTATTGTTAGTTAGCTTATGGTTATGAACAAATTATGGAATAATAATTACTAGTATTGAAATTTTAATAATTAAAAAAAATCATGTCATTTAATTGTTGTGTTAAAAATATAGCTGGTGCAACCAAAGAACCTAATCCAATTGATGTTTTATATGGTCACGATATATGGAATAACGATGAAGATTCTTCTTTTATGTCATAAATCCGAAGGATTTTAATTTCCACATGCATCCGCTACAATAACACCAGTCTAACCTAATAATAATACGTGTGTATTTTGTCAAAGATTTTCTTTGAAGCTTTTAGCAAATTTATTTTTGTCATAATAATGAAAAATATATTAAGATTGTTAATTGTTGGAAGTTCACTTTTCAACATAATGATTCCATTGTATACTTCATCCTCTCTCATGATTGAAAAGTGGAAAACACAAAAAAAAAAACAAAAACATATACCTTGTGTATTGCAAGGATTGCTACTTTAATGTAGAGTAAACATGTATACATTCACAATTATATTGTTTATCAAAGTCTTAAAGGATATAATCATACCGATTCATAAAAGTATAAGTGTTTGCCGATGACTTCGTAACCAAGCGTGTAAAATTCTCTATTCCATGACAAATTAAAGAATTTTCAATTTTCAACCATAAAAAGACGGGAGAATTACAAAAGTTAATTTTTAGGCAAAAATATCATTTTATTTCCCTGTCTTTGGAGATTATAAAAATATCGACGACAAAATAAGAAAATAACGAATACTATTTGTTATTGAAACAAATAGATGTCAGGGGTTCGCAAAACAATGCCTTCTCTGTATACATTAAACGGGCTACTTCGCTATTTATGGTAGCAAATTTTAAATCAAAAGTGACGGATGTTTAAAATATCTTATTTTCATAAAATTTACATCATTACACAGTTTAAACCTTTAATAAACTTTATTTAACGGCGCGAAGAAGATATTCAAAAGTTAATATAAAGTAATACGGGTATAAAAACTATTTGCCCATACAAATCTATAGTAAAATTAATCGCCGTCTGTGGACAATTACTAGCGCATGCGCATTAAAGACCGAACGAATTCTTGTACATGAGAAACAAGAAATATCAATGGCATTTAATACTACATTTTTGGCAAGGAAGCTAATCTCACTGAGCCGATAAATTCCCTTATTCTAGTTCATAAAGTTCCGTGTGGGTTGAGAATAAGAGGATTTTCCGTAAATGTATTTTTATACTATTAAGAGGTGCGAATGTATATTTAATTAGTAAAAAATATTGCTTACCAATAAAATCTGAGAGAGAATGCAAATCACGGTCAAGTATGTGATATACTTCTTCTTGGCTATGTCTTCCAATACCATGAGCGTATGTCGTGTTCTTAACATTCCGGCGAAGAAAATAGATAAACCAAGCTGGTACTCCAATTAATCTGAAACCACTACTCTTACTGTCATATAACCATCTATCCAGCGTTACTGCCCTTGAAGTAAAAGTAAAATTAGTCTAGAGAAATTCTGCAATCAAACTACATGGAACTCTCATGAAAACACCAAAAGACCAATTGTATACAAGCTTTTCAAATCGAATCCAAGCGGAATAAGTTAAGCTCTTATTTATATAATATGATTCGACAATGACCTTGAATACCATAATTATGCAAACACTTAACATTTCTGTTTATTTGTGAAAATCTAACAGTATTTCATTGGTTGGGTTATTTGTACAATAAACACAGTATTATGTACATGTATAAGTACGTTGTTGGTACCAAAACTGGCTTTAATACAAAGTTATTTTCTTACAATATATAATATAATTATCAATTTTTTTAACCGATATGAATAAAGTAGATATGGGGTAATATTATTTAAGCCTACCAGAATGTGTTCTCTTCCAACATTTTTTTAAAAGCCCTTGCTGCACCCCTTTCTTTTGCTGAAAATTTTTCGTCTAGATCTATTTTAAATGTTTCATTTAAAAATTCTATTATAAACTCCGTGTCAGATAATTCTTGACCATTATACTCAATCCATGGGTATTTTCCTTTTTTACTTTTCTGTACACCGTGAGCATTCTAAAATATATACATTTATAATACGTACATTGTAGCAAAGTAAAAGTTTATTTATTCGAGCTTCAGAAAGATGAAGAAAAGCGAGGCTCGCCGAACTGGACTGTTATGTGTTGATTTCCTTATGGTCATGGTATTTTTGTAGTTTTTCGTGGACTCTTGTTTGTCTATATATATCCTTTCGGTCATAGTGTTCTTGTAGGTATTTTTGTGGACTCTTGTTTGTCTATTTTTTCTTTTGTTCATGGTGCTTCCTGCGGGATGTTTTGTGGACTTGTTTGTCTGTTTCCTTTTGGTAATGGTGTTTTCTGTGGGATGTTTTTTGGATTATTGTGTGTCTATATCCTTTCGGTCATTGTGTTTTCTGTGGGATGTTTTGTCTATTTCCTTTTGATCATGGTTTTTCCTGTGGGATATTTTGTGGACTCTTGTTTGTCTGTTTACTTTTGGGCATGCTGTTTTCTGTCCTTCTTTACTAAAATTATCTGTATACCTCTAGGTCCCATTAGTCTAAAACTACAAATCCGACATTAATGAAAATTTAAAAGGACGATTGATAGTATTGGTTGTACAATAAAATGGAAATTCACGGGATAAGGTGAAAGAAAATTGGATGTTTTACCCTTATAATATTGTCAATACTTTTACGAATATAGTCCTGCTATTTCCAAACAGTACCAAAACTTAAAATGTGTTTCTATTCATTGACATCAACATGTGTCACTAGACATGCTCGTTATTGTGAAATTTTAATGAAAACAACGGTGCCTAAGATATAGAACAGAATATTGTATTAAAGTTTCGTAAAGATTTATTAAACCAACTTTAGTTACATGTATCACATGGCGAGCTCTAAGTAAGTGTGATTTAAGGGGTCTTTATTTCTGTACTCTTTAAATGTTTAGGACATTTTTACTCTTTTCTTTTCTTTATTTTTTAGCAAGTTATTCCGTTTTCCTTACATTAGCACCCAATTGTTCTCCATAAATTTAGTCCATTTTCTCTATTCTTTATTTTTTTGGCCCCGGCATTATTCTATATTCTGTTAACCCAGTGTAGTTTGTTATCGTCACTTATTTATAGTCTCTGGAGAAATTGATTGGAGAAAAAAAATATTTCCAAATGTCCTTTCTGTTATCTGATATTTATTTTTATTTTCAATTCTTCCGTTTACAATGAAAGCACACGGTCAGTATAAAGCTATGACTAAAAACAACAATAATTATATCTATAAAAAAACTAACTACAATGTACCAATGTAGAACAAGATTGATCCAAAAAGATTTTTTAAACACAAATCAACTTCAACGTCCTTAAATCAGTGGAAATAGAATTGGTCTATGACTAGTAAAATTTAGTCCACGACAAACAGAATGAACCAGTTGAACATAACCTGCTTCTATCAACAGTGGTAATTTATTGTGTCAGTTCATATGCCCGTGGTTTCGCGGGTAAATTCTATAGTATTTTCTATTTGTTAAGTTTATAGAATGAAAAAAGCACGTCTACTCCTATATAAATCTACTTGTAATGACTATTTTTTATGCATTCATTGTCAACATCTATACTACTAAAATAACGAGGTCCAATTTGTTAGCCGGCATGACGTAAAAACGACGAATCAAAGATTTCAACTTTATATATAACTAATATAGGACAACGGTGTTGATTAAAAATTACAACATTCCATGCCCTTTTGTTTTCCACATAATTAATATTACCAATAATTAACAAGTTCCGGGTCGAATCCGATATCGATACCAATAGTACCTGTTACCTAATCTGTACGTTCCGCCTTTGTCAGGCGCACCACCAAACGGTGTATTTGGGATTTGCTATATACACGGGTCATAATCACACCTGAACTTCGTCATTATACAGGGATTGACACTACTAAATTCAATCATTGACCTAAGAAATATATCTACAAGTAGTTTCCGGTTGTAGTAAGAAAACCAGGACGGATTCAAACAGAAAGATTTTAAAAGCAGAGAAAACTGTGACCTTATAATCAGCGTGACTTTATCAAATGACAATACGAATACTAAAATCCAGGCTGAAAATAAGGCGTAGGTACTTTAATTCAGTAACGCCATCGCGGGTATGTTCTAGTAATAATAATGAAAATGGTCAGCTTACCATATAAGGAATTTTTGCAAACCGTAAATATGTCTCCAACTTCATCACATATTGTGAAATACTGGGTGCAAATGGTCCCCTGCTTATTTGATGCAGAATGACTGTGTCACGTGGATAGTTTTTTCTGTAAATATGTATTTATCATTAAAACCATTTCAATAATACACGTATTCGTTAATGACATTACGGAAGAATGGTTTTAATTGCCTGTTATGGCTGCTTTATACTTAAAATATGTTATTGTGTTTTCTATTGTATAACTTTATTTGAAACTACATAATAATACAACTATTAACTAAAAACATACCAAAACAATCATGATGATACATCACAAAAATGGGGCAAGGTTGGCCCAAAATTCAATCAAAAATTTCAAAACTACCATACACTAGACTTTACAAAAGATTGGTCAAATCCATCTAAGGTTATCTTTGTCTGCGGTAGTTTTAACCTTGGTTTTCTTAATAATCTCTAAAGGTGACTGTACGATTTTGGACCAAATTGACACTAAAATTAAATTTATTTCAAACTGTCCCTGATTTGCTGAATCGAGTCTTGAATCTATGTATGCCCTTACTAAAACATTGCGGTTTTGATTTACATGTACTCGCAAATATGTAGAAATAATCGGAAGAACATAACAGTCGTCCCATCAAAAGATATTCACACAGAAAATGAATTTTGTATTTTTCAATTCAAAGGCAAAGTATTCTTTATAAAAAAATAAACAGATCCCAATAGAAGTAAGCAGGTGGAATAACTATAGTAAATATCTGATTAGTAAATGTCATCTTTGCCATTTTTGATCTGTGGGAATGTCAGTTATTCCGTAGGAAATTGTACTTGAATAAAAACTATTTGCGCGTTAATGTAGTAATCGATAGGGAGCGTAATATAACGACTGTATTATTCGGGTTATGTCCAATGCCACTTATATGGGGATTGTGGTCGACATCCTGCGGGGACGTCAAATGCTGTCGCTTCGAACAAGATAGGTCAGTAAAAACCGTTAAATATCTAATCATTTAGGCCGTTTTAGTAAATAAAAAGTTTGCACGGAATGCACAGATAAAAGAGGTATTCACAGGACCAACTTTGCATACATTATCTGTACAGGAGTATAGTAGAACACTCTCGGAAGCATCAGAATTTTCTTCAAATTTGAAACTTGCACTTGATTTCTGCCTGTTTGGGCTATCTCAGGTCAGGTTGCGTAAAAAAAAGTTGTTCAACTCAGTGTTCACTAGCAACTTTCACATTGCAAGTGACATTATTTCGTCATTTAAATTTTATCAATTGTACAGTTTTCTTTAAAAAAAACCAACACCTGGTTGTAACGTATGGGGACGGTGACTCATGTGTAACAAGTAACTGTGTAATGTTAATCTGGTTCAAAGTTATTCACATTTATTAAAATACACAGTTTAATTTATTTAACATCAATTATGTCAATTTGCTTCCAAATCCGAAATAGTAAGAAATATAGCCTAACAATCGTTTTTATTTAGATGATACAAGACAGAAAATAATGGCTGAAGATCGAATTTGATACATCATGGCACAAAATTTGTCGTCCCCTTACATCGTGCAAATAAACAAACAAACACACAAATATTGTAAGTGCCAATCTCGGCGCTCAGGATGAATGCCGAATACTGATTACTATCTTCATTTTCAAACATAATATAAAAAAAAATAAAGACAGTATAACATGATTGTTTTGATTTGATTGATTTGCATTCAAATTAAAGAAAATGAAATAAGTAGTTGGTTATAATAAAAATATACGTTATGACCCATTTTGTATTACTCTGGACCCTTTACTGTACATATAGATATGCTGGTCAACAAACCTAGTAATATTAATATGATCATTTATAACTATAACTATCTATCTCTCTCTTTATATCTTTATATATAGATATATGTTAAAATATACTTTTTCACTTTTTTGGTCTTTTGGAAAATGTTGTTTGTGCTGTATTTAGACCCCTCTACCAAGAAATTTGTTTTGCATGCAAACGTATAAAAATTGCGGTTTTTATCCAACGCAATCATAGGTTTGAACGTTGTTTTCAATTTAGACTTATTTATATTTTTTCGTTTGGGCTTGTATTATTATATTTGCCTTCGGGTTTATATGATCTGTTCATCCTATTTCGACTCTTCAAAATTCAAGAGTCTATCCTAAATTGAGGTAAATTATATGGCCTTCCAAATACCGTTTCGATACCTAACATCACTGAAGAGACATCAATTGTCGAAATCCGGATATGGTGTACCAATTTTTGCGCCTTATGTTTGCGGTATACCATCTTTTCCGCAAGTTTATTGTTTTCTGTTTGGCATTAAATTAATAATTTTTAGATCCATTTTGTTACATCTGCATGCCGGTGATCCGTTTATTTGGCAATCGCCATGGCAGTCAGCAGGGTTTAAGAACATCTGTTGTTCGACCTGCTAGTCAAATGCGTTTTGTTAAAATATGCTTTTTCACTTTTATGGTCTTTTGGAAAATGTTGTTTGTGCTGTATTTAGACCCCTCTACCAAGAAATTTGTTTTGCATGCACACGTATAAAAATTGCGGTTTTTATCCAACGCAATCATAGGTTTGAACGTTGTTTTCAATTTAGACTTATTTATATTTTTTCGTTTGGGCTTGTATTATATTTGCCTTCGGGTTTATATGATCCGTTCATCCTATTTCGACTCTTCAAAATTCAAGAGTCTATCCTAAATTGAGGTAAATTATATGGCCTTCCAAATACCGTTTCGATTCCTAACATCACTGAAGCGACATTAATAGTCGAAATCCGGATATGGTGTACCAATTTTTGCACCTTATGTTTGCGGTATACCATCTTTTCCGCAAGTTTATTGTTTTCTGTTTGGTATTAAATTAATAATTTTTAGATCCATTTTGTTACATCTGGTGATCCGTTTATTTGGAAATCGCCATGGCAGTCAGCAGGGTTTAAGAACATCTGTTGTTCGACCTGCTAGTCAAATGCGTTTTGTTAAAATATACTTTTTCACTTTCTTGGTCTTTTGGAAAATGTTGTTTGTGCTGTATTTAGACCCCTCTACCAAGAAATTTGTTTTGCATGCACACGTATAAAAATTGCGGTTTTTATCCAACGCAATCATAGGTTTGAACGTTGTTTTCAATTTAGACTTATTTATATTTTTCGTTTGGACTTTTATTATATTTGCCTTCGGGTTTATATGATCCGTTCATCCTATTTCGACTCTTCAAAATTCAAGAGTCTATCCTAAATTGAGGTAAATTATATGGCCTTCCAAATACCGTTTTGATTCCTAACATCACTGAAGAGACATTAATAGTCGAAATCCGGATATGGTGTGCCAATTTTTGCACCTTATGTTGGCGGTATACCATCTTTTCCGCAAGTCTATTGTTTTCTGTTTGGTATTAAGTTAATAATTTTTAGATCCATTTTGTTACATCTGATGATCTGTTTAATATTTGGTAATCGCCATGGCAGTCAGCAGGGTTTAAGAACATCTGTTGTTCGACCTGCTAGTCAAATGCGTTTTGTTAAAATATATTTTTTCACTTTTTTGGTCTTTTGGAAAATGTTGTTTTTGCTGTATTTAGACCCCTCTACCAAGAAATTTGTTTTGCATGCACACGTATACGGTTTTTATCCAACGCAATCATAGGTTTGAACCTGGGACTATTGTTAGTATAATAGTCCCAGTTTGAACGTTGTTTTCAATTTAGACTTATAAATATTACATATATATAGTATTTAGATGAGATTACTTTATGTTGTAAATCAAGCAATTTCAGGATAGAATTAAAACAGCAAGTCAAACAAATTTTCCAAGCTTTAGGTTGTGTGTTTGAGAGAAAGAATGCATATGCATTTAATAAAATGTTATTTGAAATATCAATTATTTTCCAATATAATTGTTATGAAAGGATTTAAGACGTTATTGAAAATATTTAAAAATTTGAAATAGAATATACTTTTTTAAAGCTAAATTTTGCTGATATTTCTAGTTTTATTAACATATTCAAAAATAAAAGAGAGATTATATTTCTAATTAATTTATTAATATAGGAAAATACAGTAATAAGAAAATACTCATTGAATAAATATGATTTATACGAATACAAACATTCTCTTTGGTACAAGATAATAAACAAGAGTACAAGTCAACAACCTTATTACATTGTTATATTTAGCATGCACGGAAAGAAAGAGGTTGCAAAACGTACGTTTTATTTCGAATTATCCTCAAATCCAAGGCATATAAACGCAATTAAGCTTCAGTCTCATTAATATTTAGTAGTATACTAGGACACACAGAATGTTAATAACAACCAAACAAAATGCTGAGACACGATGATTGATATATCACTATATAAATAAAGTAATAATTATAGATTAACAAATCTTAAATATTTTTTATTATAAATATCGAAAGTTCAAATTGTTTTCGAAAAACAATTTTATTCAATATTAGAAATAATAATCTTGATCACGGTGGGTAAGGTTGTCCTGCGAGAAAACGTTCTGTGCTGGTGATTTGGTCCTGACTGGTGCTGGTGATCATTGAAGATATGTAAACAGAGACGAAAATTATGATTTTTGACGTTTTCTCCCATAAAAATGGAAAGAAACAGTCGAGATATTTTAATGTTGTTTCTTATGGGTTCACTGGCAAACAATGTAAAATTCGACCCTCTAAACTGTTTCAGTAAACGTAACACAAAAGTGCTCATTTTTAGAAAATCTAGAAGTGAAAAAATAAAACAAATATGCCCCTGGAGTCCGATTTCTATACACAAATCCACACGACAAAATTATTTTGTTAAAAACCTGCGCAAATTATTAAAATTGTGCAATTTCTCAGTTTAGACATGTCCTGATTCTGTGCTGGTGGGTCCTGATACGGTGCTGGTGATTTTTGGTAAAAAGGTTGGTTCTATTTAACACAAACGTAACAGAATCAATAAAATTGGGCAAATAATTGTATTCAATCGGATTTGTGACTCCTATCTTTACTTTTGTGCATCCATATGGCTGTTTAATAAACGTTTTCAAAAAATAGTAACTTATATTACATAAAAGGGCAACATCTTCCGTCCAATA